CCAGGACATTTTTTAATATTACTCCGATTGTATTCGTCTGAAAGAAGAAAGTCATATACACCTAGAATGGCTCAAGGGTGAGTAAATCATGGGCTAATTTTCATTTTTGGGTGAACTATCCCTTTAACCCTTATTTTCAAAATTGTTTTTAAATAACATTTTCATGGTAAAAAGTGTTACAGTGTGTACCTGACATAAATTCCAGCACTGTTTCGTCATCGGTTGCCTGCCGCCATGGTTCCTGACACACCCCACCCAAAGAGAGACACCCCCTCTGCACACAGCCATTCAAGTCAGGGTGCTGAGGTGACCTCGATGGAGTCTCAGTAAGATGACATCCTCAAGCTACTCAAAGAGGACCAAACGTGAACTCTCCCATCCACCGCTGCCTCGGATTACTCACTCATCCACAAAGAAGCGTCTGTCCTTCAAAACCTAACCTGGGCCAAAAAAAAAAAACATTTAAATCACACTAACAAGATCTTCTTCATTACATTTATGAATTTTGCAGACATTTTTAAACAAAGCAACTCACAATGCATTCAAAGTCTACATTTTATCTTTATTTTGTGATCAGTTTTGTTTCCAAGGAATCTAACTCATTGCTAACATTGCTCTACTAGTTAAACTTCACTAACAATCAAACGTTTGAGGTTGATAAGATTTTAGTTTTTTGTTTTTAAAAGACGTCTCTTTATTTATTTGATCAAAAATACAGTTAAATCAGTAGTACTGTGAAATATTATAATTTAAAATAACAGTTTTCTATTATAATAGATTTTAAAATGTCATTTATTCCCGTGATTCAAAGCTGAATGCATTACTCCAGTCTTCAGTGCCACATGATCCTTAAGAAATAATTTTAATATGCTGATTTGCTGCTGAAGAAACATTTCTTATCATCAATATTGAAAACAGTTGAGCTGCTTAATATTATTTGTGGAAACTGTGATAGATTGTTAATTGTTTCAGGAATCCTTGATAAATAGAAAGTTCAAAAGAACAGCGTTTATTTGAAACATAAATCTTTTGTAATATTATAAATGTCTTTACTGTCACTTTTGATCCCTTTAATACATTCTTGCTGATTAAAAATAATAATTTCTTTCAAAATAAAATCTTACTGACTACAAAGTTTTGAATGGTAGTGTACATGCACACCTTATTAGTCATAAGTGCAAAACTATTACAATGAACACACAAAAAAAATTAAGATCAGTAAAATGTCAAAATAAAAAGATGATACATGGGCGAAACTACATTAAATAAATATTACTTTTACATCTCAGGTGAGAGATTAACTCTAGTGCTGCAGGAGCATATGACCTACATTACCGCCAGACAAAGGCAGAAGGAAAAGGTACACAAGCTATGCGGTGTCAAACCTAGTGAGCTTCCTACCTAGACAGCATTTTGGCCATCATAGGTGTGTGCAACACATTTAGATGTCCAAAAATGCTGTCTGAGCAGGCAGCTCACTAAAGAGTGAGTGGCAGCAACAAATGTGAGGCAGAAAAAGGGCAAAGGCTGACAGTGTCAAAAAAACCTAGTAAATTAGCATAAATAATATTTGCATAAATAGCATTTTGGTACCTATCATGGCCGTGTTGCATTTCTGGATGCACAAAAATGCTAACAAGACCTTAATTCATAAATATATAATAAAAAAAGAAAGGGTGGAATTGTGTAATAAACGGCTTAATCATCCGTTTGAATTAAATGAAGCCTCTTATCCACGTTTTAGATTAGACAAATATTTTATATTTACAGTAGGGCAGTATTTACAGTGATCAGACGCAGCCTGACACATGATGCACATCACGCTTTGGTCACACTTTTCAAATCAACACTTTCACTCTGAGCTGACAACCTAACAAATACTACCAATTCATTCCGAAACAAAGTAAACGATTAAAAAAGAAAGGGCTTCTGCTGAAAGCGATCAAGAATCATAGGTTTCCTGTGTGATTAGGTTGGACACATAACTTAATAGTTAGTCTGTTAAGTCTTCATATCTATACATGCCAGTCATTTGTTAGCTGTCCTGCTTGTAAACATGAGATGCATACCTGTCCGCCCTGAATCTGATGAAATGCTGTGGACCGTCAGCTCACTGTGCAGAGATGCGAGAGTGTATCCAAATCTGATTGACGCAAATTTCTGTGTGATTTAGAAAGAATATGAATCTGTTGTTAACGTTACACAAATGTCACTCTCCTTATGTCCTTGCCCAGCGCCAGTCTGCGCAACTGCGCATGCGTCCATCGCCTTCTAGAAGCGGGATCTGCCCGTTACAGCGGCATCCAGCGGCGAACGCGACCTACTGCAAGACGCCCACGCCCCTTATTAACCATGGCGACCTTCTCTTTTCAAAATAAAAGTCTTAAACGCACGGTCTACATTGTCATGAAAGAGCCATGGATAGGACTCAAATTTATTTTTTTTTAATTTTATTTATATATATTACATATTAATATATTCATATTATATTATATTATATTATATTATATTATATTATATTACGCCACACTTTTAAATCAATTAACAATAGGTGTTTACTAAAAGGTCAGCATTTGGTTTATGGTAGTTGCTTGTAATATTGTGCAGAAGTTTTTATTACTACTATAGTAAGTATGTGTTGCATGTAACAAGGACACTAAAATAAAGTGTTATCTATATTACACAATATTACATTATATTATATCATGTACAATAACAACTTTCAATTATTTGACAAAAGTTTTTTTTTTAATTACTACTATAGTAAGCACATTTAACTTAACATGGACACTAAAATAAAGTGTTACATATACAGTGGTGGCCAAAATGATTAGAACACTAGTATTTTCACCAGCTAAAAAATTGTTTGAAGTCAGTTATTTCTATCTTTTGCTGTAGTGTGTCAGCAGGAAATAACAGTTTACATTTCCAAACATTCATTTTGCCATTATTTCTAATAATCCAGTGAGATTTTTGTCTGACAGCAGCCAGCGCTCCACACAGAGATCTGATCTCCTCCTCATCCCGTCTGTCTGGAATAACATGAAGAAACAGAACAAACTGAGACAGATCCAGAAGAACTGTGGCAACGTCTCCAAGATGCTTCAAGAGACCTGCCTGCAAAGCTCCCTGAAAAACTATGCGCAAGTGCACTTAGGGCAAAAGCTGCAAACGCAAAGGATGCTCACACCAACTGTTGATTTAATTTAGTTAATAGAAGTTAATTGATAAAGAAAATCTATTTATGACATTATTTTTGACAGCATCCTCATTTTACAGCATTTTTTACACAAGTGCCTAAAACAAAAACAATAATTATCCCTATTTTATGACAAGTTTCCATATTCATGAATCCCCACTTGGATAGATGGTCTATGGAGTGGAGAATATGAGTTTTGTGTTTTCTACACTGTTCATCATGTATATTCCAATTAGTTTCATTCCACGAATGATAACTAATATGTGAAATGTGGCTCGTCATTAAGCGAGGCTCTGTGGCAGTGGGCCTGGCCAGCATGAGCCATAATTACGTGATTTGGTGGAACATGCCGTACAAAGCCTTCAAAGAGCACTAATTAGCCACCTCACATGCTGTCTAGCAGGAAATGATCAGTCCAGGGGAATGAGAGCTCCAGCTTACCTGTGAAATCCAGCCTCCATTGAGAAGCGCATTAAAGATCACACTATCCCAGTGTGTTAATGTAGTTGAAGTTCGGCTCCATGCTATTCAGCGCTGGCTCCGCAGCAGGGCTTTAATGGGCAGTAGCCTCCCTGCTATTGCGCTAATGAAATTGACAGTGTGGCTATCAGGGGTCATATTGCTCAAGTGGGATCAGTGGCCATAGATAACGGACGGTTCAGTGTTTCTCCTGGGCAGAAAGGTTGAGATGGGAGATGAGAGTCAGGTTAGCAGCCGAGATCTACTTCGGTGGTATCCAAAATTAACCCTTGGCTATTTTTTTTTGGTAATAAATTTGCAATATTTTTAGATTACATACAGTGGTGGCCAAAATTATTAGAACACTAGTATTTGATTGTTGAATCAAATGTTGATTTAATTTAGTTAATAGAAGTTATTTGATAAAGAAAGTCTATTTATGACATTATTTTTGACAGCACCCTCATTTTACAGCATTTTTTACACAAGTGCCTAAAATTTTTTAACAATAACGGTAACTGTAGCTTTGCAGGTAGGTTTCTTGATGTATATATTATATTATATTATATTATATTATATTATATTATTTCTACAGGTTCTACGGCTTTTTCTTTGAAATCACTTGTTTCAGGCAGCGCCAGTGCAATACCCTGGGCGGCCTGAGTGAGGGTGTGGCGCTGTCGCGAACAGAGCTCCCGGCGTTTGAGTGTCTGTAGCAGTGCGCGGATAGGCCGCATGTGATGTGAGCTGACTGTGCTACAGTGTGCTCGTGTGCATTGTCAACTGTGATACATCCCTGAGTCTCATTTAACATACCGTATTTTCATTCCTTGTGACAGAAAAGGTTTAGTAGAAAAATGCCAAAGAAGTCAAAAGATGTCGCTGAGTGGGAGGGTGATGATGAACCACAAACAGGTAAGATTATGCGTTTCTATTACACCACCGTCTGTTAATACTAACGACATGAATATGATTATTGAAAAAGTTTACATGATGACAACTCTGTTATTAATTGATTTTTGACAGAGGTTGTGATTTATTATATTGTGATTTATTATATTGTTGTTATATTTTTGCTTATCCCATTAGCTTACGACAGAAGCGAGTTTATGGTGGTGCATTCATTGTATAATTTTGTCAGCCTGATAAAATTTAAGACCATATTCGCTTTTTGATCCATGTTTCAACTAGGCCTGTCGCAATAATCAATATATCGACTTATCGCACAATATATGTACATGACCTCAATAATTTTTGGTGACGCAATATATCGCCCATTATATTTACTTAAACATTAATGTCACCATGTTTTTTGCATTCCATTTGCGCCTGTGTCTTTTGCAGCTTCTCCT